GAAAGAACTTAACAGCAACCTTTTGACGACCAGTTTGGAAGCGGTCCTGTGAGCCAAGCATTCTTCCAGACCAGACATAAATGAAAGCAGTTAGGATGTGGGCAACGGTATTGGAACTGCAAGCTAGAAATTAGAGGGAGAAACACGGGAGTCAAACAAGGAGCAGATGGGACTTGACAGTGATGTGAGCAGCAGGCTGTAGGTAAGGGGAACCGAGATCCCACAACCTGTATCCTGGGTAACCTGGTGACCTGACAACATGAACTGATAACAGATGCGGAGCCTGGTGGCTCTGCCTTGGATGCGCTTGGTGTTAGGATGCATAACTACAGACCATCCGTCCATGGATGATCAAGACAACGGCGTGAAGGTGCGGACGGCTGTCTCCACTCCTGCTGAACCTTTACATGCGAAGGGAAGCAGTCACACTCTACACATGTGGGTTTGGAGACGCCAGAAAGGACCCAAAATCAGCCAAAAATAGGTGTCTTCCAGTCTTATTTCCTAATGGAGTTTGATGCCCGAGGTCCAACACTTAGCACTTCAAACTGCCTTAAATGTTTGTGCTACTCGAAGTATGGAGCACTGGGACTGTTGCTTTGTCACACACCCTGAAGACAATCGGAGCATTTATACATACTGGTGGCTGCCATGCACCCTTAGCTCCAAGCGTGCCGGTTATGTCATGTTTCCTGTGGAGATGTCAGCAAATATCACCTCAACCGGGGCATCGTTGACGGACCACAAAAATGATTCTACCCAGTTACGACTCGATGAACCAACGGATGTGTTGGGGTTACAGCAGAAGCACGGGCAAGGGGTGGTAAGCCTATAACCAAAGCATGGGCAAGGGGCTGCTCACAGGAACGTGGGTGGCTTAAAGGTAGCTCTACCACCAGGACGTCAGCGTGAGCAATGCCTCTGCAAAGCCGCGTCCCTGGGACTTGGAGGCAGCCCCACGGGAGGGTGTCCTCTTCCACAACAATTACTTACGTCTTGGACAACCCAGAGCTGGGTCTGTCCCTCCCAACTTCAGCTGTCAACTTGACACAGCCCAGAGTCATCCTCTAAGAGAGGAGGCTCAACTGGGGAACTGGACAGATCAGATTGGCCTGAGGCCATATCTGTGAGGAAGTGTCTTGATTGTGGATTATTGTCAGAGGGTGCCGTCCCCCGTGGGCAGTGCCATTCCTTGGCAGGCCGTCCTGGGCTGTATAAAAAAGCAAGTCAGTATGCAGTGTTCCTCCGTGGTAGTTTGTGCTCTAGGCACCTCACCTGGAGTTCCTGCGTGCGGCTTCCGGCAGCGATGAACTCTCACCTGGAAGGGTAAGATGAAATAAACACTTTTCTCATGGTGTTTATCACAGCCACACAAAGGAAGCCAGAGAAGGGGGCTCTGCCTGGCAAGTCTTGTCACTGCTGAGTTTCATGAGTTTGTAGGGCCTTGTAAGTCTTGCTAGCTTCTGGCATCTCACGAGTCTCCGCCCTTCCTCATTGATCCAGGAGGGCACGCTTTGGGTCTGAGGAAACAGCCACACAGCGGCGCCCCTCGAGGAGTCCAAACTAGAAGGATCGCCGGGTGGTGCACGAAGAAGGGATGGTCGGAGAGACACGCCACGCGGCATCCGTGAGTCTGGAGAGGCCTGCTGTGACTTCAGTCTTCTGTCTTCACAGGCTTCCCCTCCTGCTTTGCCGTTTTCCCCTTTTATTTCTCTAACAACTTGATTGTTGAAACCTCAGGAAACTCTAAGCCTGTTTCTTCCATCAGAATGAAAGGAGCTCATTGATGAAATCACGAGTCCATTAAGATCGACTGGAACATCTCCATTAAGCCACGATTTGCATCATAAAACAGATTAAGATGAAAAATGGAAGCACTCTCTGGGAGAGGAAATGTACAAAAGAATCCTTTCAGGCTCTCTGAAGAAAGGCGGAATAACACTCCGCCAAGCACCAAAAGATGACAAGGGACCAGACAAGGGTATTGACCGAGCCAAGCAAGACTGAAGACCTGAACCCAGATAAGTGATGTGACTCAGGGCTTGGCTTTAGGCTGAAGCCAGAGAACACGCAGCAGAGCTGTAGACAAACACGGCGAGCTGCCTGACGAGCAAGGGCTCCCACGGTAGTGCGAAGCACACGGGGGTCGTCATCCCTACGTTAATGGAGTTGCCGAGAACCATCCTACCGCCTGGCTAAAAGCTTGGGCTTATGTTATGGGTGGCTCTGAGTGGATGACAATGTTGTTCAACTCCACCTTCCTCAAAAAGTTCCAGCAAACAGTCCTGTGACAAGAGCTATACTGTGTGCAGATCTCAGGAATCTAGATTGCTTCAGGTGATCAAAGAATACTGACACAAACCCTGAATTAGCAGTGCCCGGAGCTCTCCAGAGTTCCGGGAGAGTGCAGGTGTGTGTGTGTGCAGGCGAGTGCGCCTGTGCGTGTGTGTGTGTGTGTGTGTGTGTGCATGCTTGTGTGTGTGTGTGTGTGTGAGAGAGAGAGTAAAAATCCTTGTCTCTATCTCTCTCAAACTGGTTTTGTTTTTTTGTGCATTATATTTACTTAGACAAGCTCCTAAACTGTTGGCCTAAAAGAGAGACTGGCTCAAAGGATTGGGACGTCTGGGGGAATTGGCTGTTTGAGGGAAACACTGCAGAGAAACGAGCAAGAGAATGATTGGCAGTCATGTTCCCCCGGAGGGACCTCTTCGCTGGTGTGTGAGAGGCAGTCTGTCCCAGCTCCCAGGAACCCATGGTGCCATCTCTTCAGAATTTTCCACTCAGCGACTCCAGAGGAGGTTGAAATTGGCCACAATGGGAACGCCTACACCGTCAAAACTGGCGGATGTCACAAATCAGGGCTGTCCTTTTTTTTTTTCTTCTGTCCTCAGCTTGTTCTCCCCACCGCTAGGAAGTATATTATTAAATATTTATCAGTATTCTCATGGAATTCAATCAAAGGATAACTTGTCCAGCAAAGCAGCAGCAGCAGCCTTCTGAGGCCCCAACCGATGGTTCTGTGAGTACAGGAATTAGTCAAATCAGTGGCTCCACGGAACTCTGCCGCCTTTGGAAAAAGGGAAAGAAATTCATGGAAAACACACCTGTGTGATGGGGCCACCCTGTGAGCTACCTGAGAGTCAATATTCATGGAACTGCATGGTGGGTGTCCTTCAGAAGTGGCAGAGAGACCTTCAGCACAAGGTAGGGGCTATTAGACATGGTGCAGGCCTCCTTCCCATTTGACCAGGGACTTCAGAGAAAGGCTGAGGTCCAGAAAGCTGGGTCTCGGAAGGTCTAATTTGCAGGACATTTTGATAGTTAGCTGGTTAAATTCTACTAGCAGCTGAGCTCAGACAAAGGACAGTTGAGCTCTGGGGTGCACTGTGAGCGAGCCAGCCAGGGACTCTGAACCCTGTGCTACAGGGTACCGGTGATGCGGCAGGGCTGTTACTGGGTACCACTGATGCTCTTAGGCCTGCTGGATTGACAGCTCTACCCGTGACGTCAGAGGCTGCCTCTGAGCTGCACAGGACAGAGGAGTCTCGTCTGCCCCCTTCTTATCTTCTAGGGATCTTCTGAAAAGACACATGATTAATACTACTGTGACTTTTGACAGGAGATTGGAAGAAGCTGTGACACACAGATTACGGGGTATAAACCAGTGCACACTACGGATGTCAATATCCGGCAAACTAAAACTAGAACGACCATGTGACCCAACCACACCATGTCTGGGCTATTTGCCTGAAGGGCTGGAAGTCAGCACACCACAGATACATATCTGCGTCTCCCTCTGGACCGTTGTGCTGTTCAGAACAGCCAAGGTTTGAAGCAAGCACGACATCCATCAGCTGATGAGCAGGATTAAAACCGTGGCATGCGTCCACGGTGATGCTCTCGTCAGCCAGCCACGCCTAGAACGGAGCTGTGTCATTTGCTGGAACGTGGATGCAGCTGGAGATAGCCGTGTGCCGTGAAGTAAGTCAGAAAGACACACGCCACCTGTCCACTCACTTGCAAATCCTTGAGTACGCATACATACATGAAGCTGGGTGTGTGAAAGCAAAAGGAAGAGTTGGAGAAGGAAATGAGTGGAGTGGGGACCCAGAAGCAGGCTGGGGAGTTTGGGGGAGTGAATGCGACCACAGAACTCGATACACATGAAAGAAATTATCTTTACGACATAATAACTATATATATGTATATGAAATGAATATATACTGAGGGGGAAAATGCTGACTCGGAAGGACAGCAGAAGGCAGAGGAAGGAAAAGTATTTACTCCGCTCTGCGGGAGGAAGTTGATTTGTTTGGAGGAGTCCGGGGACAGCCCTGCCTTTGTCTGATAAAGCCCTCTCTCTAAGGCCCCCATGTTTAAGATGTAGAGGACTGACCCAGGGGATCAGCCTGCAGTCCCCTCGGGCCCGAGGAGTGTGCTTCCCGGTTTAACTGGCCGCCTGGCCATGGTATGTCATTGTCATAGAACAGCAGCCCAGTACGAGGGTGCCTCGACAGTGCTCGTCCATCTCAACCCCGAGACACAAGCCTGGAGGAATGCCTTCCCAAAGAAGGCCAAGTGCAGCGGGGCTTTGCAGAGGTCAGCGCGCTCCTCTGAAGGCTTCATCCCGGGAGTCACGCTGCTTCTGAGGAGGCGCTGCTCACGTCCACGTTTAGAGACATGTTTTGCGGGTGTCGGGGTGACTTCAAGTCTGTGAAAGGAACGTGATGCGAACACTAAGCAACTAGAAGGAAACTACTGGCGGGCACACACGCCTGGCGGCCTCTGCCGGTCTGGCCTCAGCCCCTGGATCCTGAATCATGGAGGCCCTGGAGGTTCCTACAGTTGATTCCGGAGCCATCGAGAAGCAGGAGGCCACCGTCAACCAAGAAATACTGTCATGGTGAGGCAGCAAGATAAGCAAGCGACACCTGTGCCCCTGATGTGGACCCGGGTCACAGCCGGAGCACATAGGTCGAGGGAGAGAGGCAGGCAGGTCCTACTGTGCGCTCTGGAGAGAGGCAGGCAGGTCCTACTCTGTTTACCTGGTTGGTGGGCAAGAGCCTGTCCTCAGACCTTGGAGCTGAAAAACGGGGCCTGGGACTTATCACCCCCCTGCTACACGGTAGGTGGCAAGTGGGCCTTATAGCCTCATCTCTCTCTTTAATCCTCCCCACTTGTTTAGAAAAGCACCCTTTGATGTCACTCTGATGACGTCCATCGTCCTCCGGAAACCTGCTACGACAGGGGCGCCTCCTCCGTCACAGGCCCGATTCACAGAACACTCCGTGTTCAGCGGCTCTCCGAGAGGAGGATTCCAAATCTGCCTTTAGCCCTAAATAGCTACAATATCGGAGTAGCAGCAGCAGCGGCCCCTCACAAAGCCTTTATAGGAAGCGTCACACCGGGGGATGGCGTGACACAAGGAGCCACAGGTGAGAGCCCACACCAGCTCGTGTGCGCCGTGGAGCAGCTGCCCGCTTCCTTGAGGGAGTTGTACGGAAACATTTCAGCGTGTTTATCTGTCTGCCCAGCCCTATTTAGTGAAAAAATGACTGCTCTTTGCTTCTTGCTACCACGCGCTAGGGTGATACTATGGCAACCAGGCTGCATTATAAAAAAGGGGGGGAGGGGGGGTGGGGGCAGGTGCTGCTTAGCAACTTGAAGATCTTTAAAAGGCAAGTACTCATTTTTAACAGTCACAGTTTTTAAAATGCCAGATTTGAGGAGCTCGGGGGAAAAAAAAGAAGGAACATTGAATATTAGAGACAGCAGTAGAGGGACTAAGTAAGGGAGGCGGTGACGCTTCTCTCAGAGCGGTTACGCACACCATCATGGCGGCTGCGGGATCACAACTGGGTCTCTGTTCACACAGGGGAATGAAGCCATCAGGGTTGGCCAGCTAGTGTGTGTGTGTGTGTGTGTGTGTGTGTGTGTGTGTGTGTGTGTGTGTGTGCGTGGCGGGTGGGGCGGGGCTGGCCTCCAGGTAGCAGCCTGATTTCAAGTGGCCTTCTCTTTATAACAGCATCTCATCAAGAAGCAGGGTGTCACCTGGGAATGGGAGGAAGAAAAAGAAGAAATGAAACAGTATAGATGGCCAAGAAGGTGATAAAAGTCGACCATCTGTTCCTCAGGTAGAAACTCAGAAAGGGGGAAAAAAGAATACCTGTAAATGTACTACCATGTTCAAATGTCTTCTGCAGGGTTCATTTGGTCACTCTTGGGTAACAAACACAGCGGACAGGATGGAGTCCTGTGTGTTGCAGGCTGGAGGAGCCTGGTTTTTGGAATGCTTGGAATTTGGAGGAGTTTTTGAGCAGCGGGAAGACCAGGCACGGGTGGGCAGTGGTCGCGTAAGGGGAAGAGCGCTGCCCTTTCCTGATGTGGATAGAAACCTCGAAGGAAAACAGATTCCTCAAGACAGATGAGTACGTCCATTCAACCAAGACCGCAGGAAGCAGCGAAGATGGTGAAGTCCCTCTCCCCTCCCCTCACTGGTTACTGTCCTTTCCCAGCTGCTCTGCCATTCCAGCCCTCTGTCCCCAGAAATAGAGCGATCCCCGGTGAAAACACTGCTCGTAGCTGGAGGGATGGTCCTGTTGAGCTTTACCGGAATGTTCAATAGCAGGCAAACATCACACTAAGAAAAACATGTCAGATTGAAGGATGTTCTCCGAGGCAGACAACATAATGGGTCACTGTCTATTACGCACCCTCCTTAATTAACATCGCTTAAGACACACCATTCAAACAGACCCTAGGTCTGAATCACAGGAGGCTCAAGGGTCTGAGATTTTATCTACTTGAGACTCTGCAGGGGAGAGCAGAGGGGAGGCAGGGAGAGGAGGAAGGTGGGCAGCTCCTCAGTTGTCTTTCACCATTCAATCCACAACACCCCAGAGAGCCCACTAGGTCACGGCCACCGAGTGGCCATCCCAGGCTGCTCTCCGTAGTGCCCCTGGCGTAGAGAGAATGGCTAGGAACACAGGGCTTTGGCTGCCTGGTTCCGGCGCCTGTCTTCCAGGGGAGGTCACTACCGCCTTCTTAGTTAATAACTTGCTCGGTCCGGGCTTAGAGGCCCAGTGGTCATGCATATGTTGTGTGATCTTCTCAATGTTCCCACTCGATGCTAACTGTCCGCATGCCACGAGAAACAGTAAACAGCCTCCGCCTGACTCAGAGGGTCTCATGATACCAGAGTCCACCCAGCCTTCCTTTCAAAGAGCCAGTGTTTCTGAGGGTCTCGGTAGAGGAGTCTGTTCTTCTTACTGCCGACGTGATGAATAAGGAGTGGCTGTCTGGGTCCTGGTTAGAATTTCGCTCTCTCAAATGCTGTCTAGTATCCCTATCTCCATCCCTATGCTGTGCTCTGAGACCACTGATTCTCTCGGGGCCTTCGCGTGGACTTCCCATCCCCATCTCCATTCAGACCACCCTCAGATTGCTATGGGCACTTACTGCATCAGGGGAATATCACATCATCAACCTGGTCCTCTGCTGTTATTCATAGCCACGAATAGCGTGTGCAGTTAGTGTCTTAGCATTTTACAGTGCACACACACACACACACACACACACACACATACACATGAGAGAGAGAGAGAGAGAGAGAGACAGAGAGAGACAGAGAGAGACAGAGAGACAGAGAGAGACAGAGAGAGACAGAGAGAGGGAGAGACAGAGGACAGAAACAGAGACAGAGACAGAGAGATATAGAGATAGAGAGAGAGACAGAGAGAGACAGAGAGAGGGGTTGGCAGGGAGGGAAGGGGGAACGGAAGGAGAGTCTCTTTAAGTATCAGAGGGAAGAAGTATTCAGTTGCAACACCCCAGCTTGAACCTAGCCGGCAACTAACTGGTAAGACAAGAGTTCAGTTTGAGATAAGACCCCCCCCCAACCTACAATTCCCTGCTCTTCAGGGGAAGCAGGAACTCTGGTGTCAGGGAATCTTACACATTGATCTTACACCTGTTTCCCAGATTTCAAGGACACAGAAACCATCTGGGGAGCCCGTGGCACTGCAGGTTGGGGCGCAGCAGTTCTGTGGTGAAGATCAAACACTCCCCACCTGTTCCTGGATCAGCCGCTTAAGGGAAAACTAAATTGTGTAATGTCTTTCAGACCAAGAAGGTCTTCCAATACCCATTAGCTTTCCTCCCATTCCCTAGCAATTATAAAAGTGCTACAGCTACAACAGGAGTTTACTGAATCATGTCCAGTACGTCTGAACCAAAGGGTGGGATTAAAAAAAAAAAACAGAAAAGAACAAAGAAAGAAAAGAAAAGAAAAGAAAGGCTCACACCCCCTCCCATTCATCCCAGCTTCAGTCCAGCCCTGGCTTTGAAAGCCTCTACCTCTTCAGTGACTTGTAACACAGCCATCAACCGGAAATTGGGCACAGTGACTAGAGGGTGATGAAGGGATGAACCGGTGATAAAAATACAAGGTGTCCGGCATGGACTGATAGAGCAAGAATGTAATTACTGTTCCTTTAAAAGTGAACAGAAGCAGAGCAAAAAGAAAAAGAAGAAAAAAACAACAACCAAACAAAACCCAAAGCGAGCACGCATCAGCTGCCACAGCACTGTGTGCTCGCTTAAACGAGACAGGAAAAAAACGATCCCGCAGACAGGAACACGATGCTCAAGGCCTCCTTAGCTGCTCCCGAAGGGGCCCTAATGGCTCCAGGCTCACAGACCGGCTACGCAGCGGCGCCGCCGGCGAGCTCTGCTGCCCCCTGCTGGGCGGAACGCCGCGCTCGCGCCAGCCCGTCTGCCAGGCTGGGGTTCTCTGGGGACCCCCGCGCCCCCGCAGGCATCCAGCAGGTTATGCAACACCGGGCTGCAACCAGCATGCTTCGGGAGAGGACACCATCCATTCCCACGGGGCTCCTACTGAACCAGTGTTAAGGGGAAGGCGCAGACCAGAAAACAGCAGCACCAAATAGTTCAACGTCGGAGGCTCTGGGCGTCCTGGCTGCCTTTTGTCCATGCAGAACCCTGAAGCTAGGAGAGTCCTTCTTTGGGTCAAAGGACCCCAGGCTCAGAGTGCGTGTGCGGAAGGGGAGTAGACTAACCGGGGGATGGGGATGTGGTGTGGAAATGGACAGCCGGATACTGTCTTCCTGTGGCATCGTTCAGCTCCTTCGAGATTGTAGGTGTTCGATCTGACCTTCAAGGTTTTAAACTCCAGCTGATGGTAAACCGTATCCAATGGGCTGGTCTTCCATAACAGGACGCACAGGGTAGGCTTCAGAGAGAGAGAGAGAGAGAGAGAGACGCACGGAGATGGAGGAGAGGGTCCTTTAGGGTCCAGAGACTATTCGCGTTTTGATATATCCAGGGCGAGCCCAGATCTGGGACCATTTACTGTCAGCTCTAGAGAAATTTTCCTTCAGTCTGGACCCATCAACCCTTTGGAGTTTTTCTTTGGCTGCCTTCTGGAGTGGAGGAGTGGCCAGTTCTCATTCCTCCCATCCCGGTGTTGATTAATGCTGTTCTCCAGCGCATAAAATATTTCAGAGATCTTTTTTTCCTTTCACAGGGAGTTACGAGGCATCTCTGCCTCTCCGGCAGTTTAACTGGAACTTTCAAAATGAAACAAAACAAAACAAAACAAAAAACCGGCATGAGCTGAAAGTCACCTTAGAGATCCCGAGGCACCGCGCTCCTATTTTATAGAAGACGGTTTGGGCTTTTCGACCAAATCAGAGAGGATCTCTGGGGACCAGGAGATGACAGTGCATCTTTTTCCAGTCTTTGGACCTCTCATCCACCGGCCTGGAGCCGCGAGGAACGCTGAGTCAGCACGCAGCCAGTGCAGGGCTAGAAAGTCTGGGCCCGAGGATCATATTCACCAGCTACTGGCAAGCATATGCTGGCACCTCTTCCAGACTCTTCTCCGTAGGCACACGGCGCCGGAGACTCTGCTCATGAGGGACAGGGCACATGATGCGAGTCAAGAAAGCCCAAAGATGCCTCGTCGTCAGAACCTCTCGGGCAGGGTTTCTAGATGTACAAGCCCGTGCCAGCCGCGATTGAATGCGAGCATGTTAAGCCTCGATGGACCACTGCCGGTCTGCAGTGCCCAGGACAAGAACTCACAGGCTTTCGGGGAAACACTGTGTGTGTGTGTGTGTGTGTGTGTGTGTGTGTGTGTGTGTGTGTGTGTGTGTGTGTTAGTTAGACACAGCTGAGATACATTCAGGGAGACCATGTATCTGTCAGAGTTCCCAGAACTGGATTGAGTTCACCATGAATGAACTATTGAAAAGTGGAGCTCGGAGAGCCAGCAATTGATTCATGGGTTTAAAAACAAAAGAGTCCTCTCCACACATGTATAACCTTAATGACCTGACCTATCCCAAACCCGTGTAAAAAGCCAGATGGTGGCATCTCCTTGGGTGACAGCCATCAGATAAATGTCTGTTACGACTCACAATAAGCCCCTTTCTACATTGCTGCCATCGTGTTAAAGGGCTGCTCGGGGCAGGACACTCCCCTCCTGCCTCCTGATGGGTTTGGAGGAACCTACCCTGGGTTTGCAGGGCTGTGACTTGGAGTCTGACCTCCTGGGGGATGATTGGGAGCCAGGACTGAGTCAAACATCATTTTAGCAAGCTGATCTACAAATCCTCAACAGGAAGGGCTGCTTACCTAGAGAGGCCATAGGAGCTCTGCGCTCCCTTTAACTTGGTGGTTTCCTGACAGTGAATTGGCAAGTCTAAAGGAAGCATGTTTGATTTTATTATGTATTTATTTAATTGGTCTGTGTGTGTGTGTGTGTGTGTGCAGTTAGCGTTAGAACTGGACTGGATCATAGGACACCCAGCCAGATGGTATCTGGAGAGTTGGAGAGTTGATTGGTGTGAAGAAAAAGCCCACACATTTGGTGTCAGAAATGTTGTAAGTGAAAACATTTTGGAGGTGGGAACTCAACCCTCTAATTCTGTGACATTCCAGCCCAGAAGAGCTAGGCCATCACCCGCAGGGTCAGCCTGCTTTGTTCTGCAATGGGTGGGTGAGACACAGCTCTCTAGTTTCACTGTGGTGGCTGGTCTGGCTGGGTCTCATTGCAGAGGATGTCCTCGGTTGTTGGCGGGGTTAGACTTTGTGAACAAGCACAAGGCAGCTGGTAGTTTGTCATCAGCTAATTTTGTCCCCAGCTGAACCGTACAGCTGGGGGCTCTGACTCCTAGTTCTCACTCAAAACAGAAGACATTGGTGAGAACGGTGTCTGTTGTCCAAGCTGGAAACAAAGCTCAGTGGACACAACACACACAGGCAAGGCTGCCTTGCTTCCGCTTCTGACTTCTTAAGTGTCCCGTGATCTCAATGGCTTTTATCAGAGAGCGGTTAGGGTGGGTCAGTACTAGGACAAGAATCCAGAACGATGTGGACATTCCCGCTATCTGTCATGGGTTTGATCCCAGGAACACATAAGAGAAATCTGAGGTTACAAGGATGCACGCCCTACATCCCAGCAGGACTGGATGTGTAACCCCATCGTGGTCAGCTAAGGGATGCAAGCTACTTCTGCTTCATGCCAGGACGCATGGTTGAATTTCTCTCTCAGGTTTTCCATCGCTGGACCTCAGGGATGCTCACACCCTCCGTTTGGATCTTCATTTGGGATAGCATCAGTGTACTAAATGCCGTGCTAAGATCTGCTTGCAACCGCTGCTGGATAGCGCTGCAGGTGCTGTGGAGTCTGACAGATCCTCACAATGGTAAATATAGCTTAACCCAAGGCCTAACAATTCCACCCCTGGATATACACCTAAGAGGAATGAAAACACAATCCCACAAAGACCAACACACGAGTGCTTATGCCAGCATTAATTTTTAGTAGAAAGTTTAAGAAAACCAGAAAAAACCCAGATGTTTACAAAATGATGATGAGATAAAACATATTTATAAAATAAAATATTGTTTGGCTGTAGCCATATGAATACTTATTCAAGTGAAACATGACTGAAGCTTGAAAACATGTTAAGTGAAAGAAGCCAGTGGTAAAATTCTACTTATTGTCCCACTTATACACAGTGTACAGAGACATCAAGTGGGTTAGTGATTGACTGGGAACATGTGTGTGTGTGTGTGTGTGTGTGTGTGTTAACAAAAAGGTTTCCTTGGGTTAATGGAAAAGACATGAATGTATTGTGTTGTCGTTGGTAGCCACTAGATTATAAACTTTGTTTTTTTTTTTTTTTTTTTTTGGTTTTTACGAGACAGGGTTTCTCTGTTTTGGAGGCTGTCGGTCCAGCCTGGCCTCGAACTCACAGAGATCCGCCTGCCTCTGCCTCCCGAGTGCTGGGATTAAAGGCGTGGGCCACCGATGCCCGGCTAGATTATAAACTTTAAAAGAATGAAGAAAACTAAATTTTCTGGAATTAAAACGAAAAGGGTAAAACTTGGATCTCAGAAGTCTTACTCTCTGGCAGTTCTTACTGTTTGAGAGGCACTTTTTTTGGAGTGGATTCCAGACTCCCACACCCGGTCTCTGGAATGTATTTAGCTCTAGGGGTCCATATGCAACATTAAAGAAAAACACACCTTTCTGAGTCTGTGTCTCCTACCTAAAATATTTGTCAAATAACAGCCACTTTCGGAATGCTTGGTTACTATTAAGAGTGTGTTTGTTTTTCCTGTTATAATTCGTGTATGAAGTGTTTCCTCAAAGGCTCACGTGTAGTGGCTTGATTCCTAGCTATTGGATCCAGTCATCTCTCCTTTAGAGGTGAATGGGTTAGAAACATGCTAACATCATTCACACAGAATTGGCAATTGGGAGGAGGACGTTGGCTGGAGGAAGTATGCACTAGGACTGTGCCTGTGAAGGGTGTATCTTGAGAACTCCCCTCACCATAATTTGGAATTTTGCCATAGTGGGCACCCCAGTGTGTGCTTGCATGCGTGCGTGCGTGCATGTGTGTGTGATATTTCAAGGACAGGAAGTAAATCTACTTGAGCTGTGCTATACAGATCTACCCCAGCCCTATTCTTTTTGGTACTGGCAGACGTTTGAAACTTTGATGGCGTTGCTTTATCCATGGAGTACAAAAAATAAAAAATAAAAAAAAATGGAAGAGGCAAAGAGTAAAGAAACATGAGATCATAAAGTAAGAACCCCTAATCCAGTTCCTTATTTCCCATTTTAAAGCATCTTTTTTTTTGAAACCACAGTGTCAGGAAGGTAGGAGACTGTTTGGATAGATTTCAGCGTGCAGTGGGCTAAGATCAGAGGACGGTTGGAGGTATCCATTAAAAGAAGAATAAGGGGAACAAAGAACTCCTGGACTAAAAAGATGCCATGGGAAAAATGCTCATTGTCAATGTTGACCTGAGACGAAACAAAAAAACCCTGACGGATGTGAGCCGATAGGCTCAGAATTTCTGTAAAAGCTCGCAATGGTTTGAACGGAAAACGGACCCCACAGGCTCACAGGGAGTGGCACTCTAAGGAGGCGTGGCCTTTGTCGGATGAAGTGTGTCACGGGGGTGGGCTTTGGGGTATCAATGTTCAAGCCAGTGTCATCCTCTTGCCTCAGCTACCACCCCAGCACCGTGTCTGCCTGCACGCCACCAGGCTTCCTGCCATGAGGATAATGGGCTAAACCTCTGAACTGTAAGCCAGCCCCCAGGTCAGTGCTTTCCTTAATAAGAGTCGCCATGGTCATGGTGTCTCCAAGCAGCACCAGCACAGTAACTAGGACAGAGTCCTGTCAAAAACTAGAAAGCAATCTTTTTACCAGTTGTAAAAATTTACTGCAGCCCACAACACCATTTGCTATCGGAAGACCTGATGCATAGTATAACCCACAGAAGAAAACGTATTTGTGAGTATGGAAGGTTTTCTTTTGATAATATTTAAAAACCATGACTTCTTATAAAAATGAGAAGAAGAGATACTTTTCAAAACCACACAGAACATTTTTCCCCCAAGCCAATAGACAGCAGTATATTTGATGGTACAAATTACAAACATTACTGTTAAAATCATGAGTAGGAAGCACACTCTCGTGATTAATTAGCAATATTATAGAAGATATGGATAGTTTAGTTAATATTCATGAAGACTGGCTGGCAATGGAAAAAGAAGAACATGTTACAATTACCTGCAGAATATGCAAAATATCAAAATAATATATATTGCTGTTTTGTGGACGCGCAGGAAAGATAGCAGATTAAGTGCACACAGAGTAAATGTATAAAGTCACATCTTTATATACATTCATCACCAGAAATTTAAAATAAAGACCAAGGCCCTATTAATACTGCCAACAAAGTCATAAACCATGCATGGCTAATATATGACAGCATTAATGTAAGTTCTGCATGACTCGATTGTACTAAGAATCACATAAATATGCAAAATGTTGCTGTGTGTCTTCACGAAAAGACTTCATACTGTAAAGATGAGAAGATGTTAAATAAAAAGTCCAATCCTTTAACCCAAGAGTTTTCCTTGTAACCCATCAAAATGGTACTAGATGATGCGTAGAAGAAGAAAAAAACATTCCAACAAGGAAGTGAATTAAAACGTCCCTCTAGTGGGAACTCACTATGGATGGTAGGCAGGTTCACACAGCACTCATGAGAACCTGCAGAGAGGACAGAGAACGGTACTGCGAAAGAGAACTAGAAAGAAACTCTGCGCGGGCTGGCGGAAGGATGAGTACATCAGTGACTGGGGGTTCAGGCTGTCGCTGTGCCAATAGCTCTTGATGTCCTTTGGGTTACCTTTAGCTCCCAAAAAGTCACTCCTTGCCTGCCTCTGGACCAGTCCTAACACTCCAGAGAACAAATGAGAACCTGTGGAATGTCTTAAACGTGACACCATCTTGTTTTCCACCAATGGGAGGGCTAAGAATGCTTCTGTCACAGCCTCCAAGACCAATGATGGAGATTCTCCTGTCTCGCTGTAAGATAACTTATTCTCGGGAACTCTTCAGGGCAATTGGTGGGCAGCCGCACCAGTGAAGAGTCCCACATTGCATGGAGTTCCTGGACAAAGCACAGGCAGCTATCCTACCAAAGACTCCTCCCACCTCCTGTCAGTCATCCTCCTATATATCCTTTAGAAGGGGAGGGGTCAGTTGAACACAGTGAGCCCACGTATCTTGTGAGCTTCCCTCCCTTCATAAAGGAGTCTGAACAGGCCCAGTCTCATTGAGGGTCTCATGCAGGTGATCACAGATGCAATGGTCTGGTTCAACTGGATGCAAATGCCACCAGGAGGTCCCTGACAGAGGCAGAATATTTGATAAGCACCTAGGTGGTCCAGAGCAGGGTGAAATGCCCTGGCGTGCGCTTCTGGCTCTCTGCACTAAGTTGTGGGAGGAATTTCCCTTCATGCCTTTAGAAGAGGTAAATAATAACTTTGGGGGAAGAAGTTAACCTTTGTTCTCTTTGGCAGAGGCAAAATCGCAATAGATGCCAGCGATTAAGTTGTCATTTACATTGTGAGGAGGAAGACAAGCCCAATCGCATGCACTCGGTGCATGGCATGGTTTCCAAGGCATGACTCAGCAGAGAAAGCTTCAGAAAACCAAAATGTGACTCGGCGTTATTCACTCTCTTTGAAAGATTAACACAGAAGGGGCCATAGAGCCTGGTCTACAAAGTCTGAGAGAAATGAGGAGCGCTTTGGCCTTAAGCATGCTTGGAGCCCTGGCCATCGGTGGAAGCATCAGGCTGACAGAGGTAAATAAGATGCTCGGGAGTGATGGATCCCACTAAGAGTCCATCGGAAGATTTCCAGCAAGACTCTCTTTGGATTCAGGATCAGGGAGTGTGGGGTTGTTGGCAGAGCCTGACTTCCTTGCTTACTATCTTCTGTGTGAGCCTGTTCTTGATCACGGCACTGAAAAGATCCAAGACTCCTCCTGCCCCCAGGTGTGGCATAGAGACAACTGCACTGAGCTCAGACAGTCTCTGGAGATTAAAGTAAAAACAAGCATTCACAGGCAAGCCTCTCTCTGTTCTTCTGGTGGTATGTTACATAAGCAGTCTTCAGATGCGCTGTGAGCAAGGAAAACCAGGTAGTTCCTAAAATATAATCTATTAGCATAGGTCAAGGTATCTGATGAAAGCGTACTGAATATATATATACAGAATACAGAAGGTTTATTCAGTTGATGCTGTTTATCTCTCTGAGGGGGTTCCTGTTCTTCCCTTGAACACAGACACGCACATACATACAGACAAACACCCACACAGGTCCCCATCACAAACAGACACAGATACACAGAGACCATTCTACACACACACACACACACACACACACACACACACACACACACACACACACACATAACCCCCTGAGACTGCTCCCCACATAGAGACACACACACACACACATGCACACGCAGACACACGCATACATACAAACACCCACGCAGACCCCCATACAGAGACCCCATCACGAATAGACACACAGAAACACAGAACCCCCAGAGACTCCCCCTCATATATAGACACACACAGACACACAGATGAGCACAGACAAACATGCTTACAGACACAGACAGACAGACACATGCATACATACACACAGACACACACACACCAGGGGTCTACAGGGGAAGACAGCCCTGGGTTCATGGTCCTTAGAAATCTACCTCCCTTGTGGAGCGTGTTTATTTTACCTTCATTAAATCTTTCCCGTCTTTTGGTTTCACTGAGAGCTCACTGCATCCTGGAGGCTGCTCTTAAAAACCCAAGCAGGGGCTGCACCTGCAGGAAACTCACTCTACCTAGGCGTCTTAGCTGGTATGGGAGGAACCTGGAGCTTTCCAGAGAGCGGTAAATCACGCATTTATCTAGCCCGAGGGCATCTTCTCTAAGTGAGGAGAAGTTGGAATCCCATGAAAAGAAGCAGAAAGCAGCAAGCTGAGCCAATGAAGACCCCCACAGAAGTCCTGGTTCTGCCGGTTCACGAGTTCAGTGGGACCCA